GTTTTGGGTAGAGTTCACCTGCCAAAAACCCTCGTGGAAATTGAAACTGATGTGGGAAGAGTCAAAGTTACTTGCTACTTATATAGTCAATACTCAATATAATTCGTGGCTTGAGTTTCCATGTTACGACGCCGTTTAAGCTCGGGTGTTGCCGATGTGACCAAGACTAAGTCTTCAGTCAATTCTTCCTTTTTCCTAAATTAACGCAAATAAAACAGGTTTATCTGATGTCGATCAAAAAGGAAGTAACCCGTAAATACCCGTAATTTACTTTACACATGCAAAAAATGATGGAGATTTATTTTGTATTTACAGAATTACAGTGTCGTTTGATGATGAGGTCAAAATATATTATACAAAAGGTATTTTCTTGTCGTTTGATGAAACCATGTGTATTTTCATATTTTGTATAGAGATAGGTCTCTAGACGCAAAAATTAAAATATCAAGGTGGTATAAGATCCGTTAACATGCACATATCTGTGTTTACATATGTTTTGATAGATCGCTAGCTAATGCACCCAATATAAATCATATATATATATATATATATATATATAGTAACTAAAGCAATAACAACTCTACTCAAGTTAGTAACTTTATATTCCTTTAAGGTCTTTTGGTAACCTTACCAACCTACCTAAGTTTTCAAGACAGTACACATGGTCGCATCTGCGTCTTTTATAGGTTCTCGTAAACAATAGGAGTAATTGAGAAATCTCCAAGTACACGTAGTTAATCGCTATATGACACGTAAAACCCTAAAACTATCACTACTATATAGGAAATAGGAATGTTAATGAGTAATGGCAATTAGTAGAACCCGTAATCTTTAGATATTATATATATAAGGAGCATGAAAAAAAAACTGTTGGACCCGTTATCATGCATTTGAAGATGTTGAACTCATCAATTTAAAGTTTTTAGCAAGACCAGTTCAATGAAATTCAACAATGTTGTAGGTCATGTTCAATATATTGAATCTATGATCTTTTTTTATATTGAATTAACAATAATATTTCCTAAAGTTACAAACATTTTGGTATTATAACAGGTCCGAGTTTTAGTCAAGTTCGGCATTTCAAAGCTAAATTATTGACTATTCTGATTATTTATACTATGAATCGTCTTATGGAAAGATTTTAATACGCTTGAGTCTCGAGCATGGCCACTTGACGAATCTTTTGTTGTTTTCTACGACTTTGAAGTCTAACTTCATTTGGAATTTTTATCAAAGAAAAAAAAACTTCAAGAGGAATTGGTGTACATGCAAATACTTAAGATCCAAGCTCGAGTTTTTTAGGGATTGCTTTAATTAATTCCACAATAATTCCTTTTGGATTACTTCGATTCTAAATTTCGATCCAATACTTTTTTCTGAATTTTGGAAGTCTTACCAAAAAATAACCCCGAGAGCACACTGTAACCATATATCCCACTTTGACGAATAAAGCTAATTAAATTATCAATTTTTATTTATTTTCTTTCAAATTATATAGAAATGTATGTAATTTTATCATAGTGATGGGAAAAAAGGTAATCAATCATGCACGTGGATTATTTTTGCCATGTCTCTGCCAACCAATGTAGTTATTTTTGTGTATATACATATGCATATATGGACTAAATAAAAACGTGCACCATCCGCCAAATCTCACCTGTCAAATTTCACAAATTGCATCATACTTTTTGTTCTTAATTTTTTTAAAATTATATATTTGATTAAAAGTTCTGGTAGATCGGTTCATATAATTGCTTGTATAGTTGTATTGTAAATTATATTTAGTAAACCTATCAACCATTTTAACAAAAAAAAGATACAGTATATATATTTTGCATCATCAAAAATAAAAGTTTATTAACAACCAAAATATATATATTTATACTCTACATAAAAAAGAGTACACGAGATCATCATCATCATATCATTTTTTTTACTGCAGTACATTCAGCTGGCACCTTCCTCCTCTCTGCAGTACATTCAGATGAGCACTCTGGTTTCAAATATCGATCGCGCGACAAATCTTCGACCATTTACATCTATCTTAAGAGAATGCTTTTGAATTTTGGATGTTCTCTTCACAATTTTGTGAGATGGTTTCTGAGTTTTTGCCGGGTGCTAGGGCTTTTCAGTTATGGGCTGGCTTAATTATGATTCATCTTATGTGTTGGACTTTTGAAACCAAAAAAAAAAATCATGAATAGTTTACGTTTTCTCTATTGATCATTCTTCACTGAACGAGGACTTTTAATTTGCACATTAGGTGATCTAATAGATTTCGCGAGTGAAGTAATTAAACTGTACGTGTTTACCAAAAAAAGAGAGTAACTATTTGTATCTATGAAATATAAAGTAAGAATATGAATTCAGAATTACAATATTAATCATGAACTAATTAATTAGGAAGTACCGGTTAAGACAAATGCAACGAAATCCACTTTATTAATACACATTATCAACACAGTCTGATATCTTTGGAACAAAAACTCTTTATAAACTAAACTAAATGATAATTAGAACAAATAAAATATATTCCCTTTCCTCTGGCTTCCGAGTTTAACACAATTCAAGAACAGATGATAGTGTGACGAAGCGAGACGACATCGTATGAGGTCTCAAGCTTCTGGTCGAACCAGGGAGAACAATCCTTTAGCCATAATTAGAATCGACAAATTGGGTTGATTTTTCCGACTTTGACTTAGCCCTCAAGGTAACCTTTGTTTTGCAGGTAAGTGATAATGTTCTCAGCCATCTGACGTGGCGAACACGAATCTTCGTCTCCGGTGTGTTTCAGCACTACCTGTAAAAAATTACATAAATACATCAATACTTTAATAGTACAAATTTACTTTCCAAAATCTGATCAGTAACATTATTGAATAAACGTGACGAACCTCGCAATTCACTGGTGCCTCGTAAGGGTCGTCGATTCCAGTGAAGCCTGGATAGATTCAAGAAAACTCAACAATTAGGTCAAAAAGTCAAAGTCAACTTTTCTACAAGATTTTTTTTTTGCATACCTTTGATTTTGCCGGCACGTGCAAGCTTGTACAGCCCCTTTGGATCTCTTGACTCGCACACATGAAGAGGAACGTCCATGAAGACCTAAGTAAATTTTCGTAATAATCAATATACTATCTTCGATAACAAGTAAGTTCTAGTAAAACGTTATATAGTGTACCTCGACGAAATCGCCCTCAGGTAACAAGGACCGGCACGCGTCTCTGTCTCTCCGGTACGGAGAAATCAAACTTGCTATACAAATGACTCCAACGTCAGCAAACAACTTAGCCACCTCACCTGATGATATCAAATTAGAGATCAATCATTAACACATCATTATAACACGTTGATGATATACATATAGCGGAATCGTTTTTTTAATATCAAATTGTAAAATGTATTGTACCAATTCTTCTAATGTTTTCGGTGCGGTCCTCTGTTTTGAAAGTGAGGTCACGGTTAAGGCCGTGACGGACATTGTCGCCGTCGAGTGTGTAAGTAAGTTTGCCTTTTTCAAACAATGCTTTACTTAGTGCACAAGCAACAGTGCTTTTCCCTGAACCACTGAGACCAGTGATCCAAACGACACAACCCTTTTGTTGAAGAAGTTGTTGTCTGTCGCATCTGCAGATTGAACTCTCGTGCCACACGATGTTCTCTGCTTTCTCTTTTCCGTTTATTCTTCCCTCTTTCAGAATCGTTTCTGCCCAAACACAAAGTTACAAAGATTGGAAATTGTCAGAAAAAGACAATCTGTGGAGATGCTTAAACCTAAATTGTTTTTTTTTGGAATGTGTACGAAACAGAGAGAGATGGAGAACCTGAAAGGGCGGGAAAATCAGCGGTGAGGGAAGCATGAGCAGAGACGTTAACGGCGGAGATTGGATGAAAAGAAGCAGAATTCGCTACTAATTTTCGGTTCTCCGCCGCAATAGACGACGCAGGCAGCTTGAGGAAACCGTCACTTGGAGGTTTTCGGTGAGAATCGCCGCCGAGACCTGGAGTAGAACAGAAAACTGACGGTCGCGATGCTCTGATAGCTAATCCTTCCATTGAATCCGACGGCCAAGAACGGTGTGTGGGTTTATAGTTTTATGATACAAAATAAATGATTATGTATAAGAAAGATGGATTATATTGAAATTATATAGAGAAGACTTAAGAGTTAAGAGGAAGAAAACAGGTGAGAAGGAGAGTAATGGTACTACTACCAACAATATAATTTCTCCACAAAAAACACATGACCATATTTCCAACATCAATTCAATAGTCCTATTAAAAGAAATCAATTACTTTCTTTACACAAAACAGAACAAAAGTTTTTTAATTTGAATAAAAATATATACTATTATATAGTGGTTTTGGTATGTGTGCATGGGTCACTGTTGGAGGCCAATCTTTTTGGGAAAATGATTGTATGACTGATTTTTGCCATCTACCAACCTACCAATGCCCATTCGGAGACCCATGTGATTTATAAGCTATATACACTTATTTTATGATCTTACTTCATTCATCTCTATGCTTATTATTACAACTTCATTTGCTTGTTCAAATAAATATGCTTGACTGTATATATAATATATGAAGAAAACAATGGAGTTCTAATAATATTTTCAAAATATATTCAACACTTTTCTTGTTTCAGTACTTGTTTGATTTTTTTTGGTTTATTGAGGGATGAAAAAAGAATTCAGCAAGTTGTTTTCAACAGTCAGACAGTCAAAGCAGGCGGTTCCCTCTTTGTTATAGGGCTTACATTTATATTGGGCCTTGTAGCCCAACTGTACTAGGCTTTTTGAGGCAGACTTAACAATGGCTGTGATAAATTCAGAAGAAGACTATCAATGAACACTTTTTTTTTTTTTTTCCAACTACACCACCAATTAAGACTTTGTTCATGATAATCTGCGATACTAATAAGTGTAAGATTGTAATTCAACTCTGAAACTTGTCAGAAAATTTTGTTCTACACCTTAGTATTGGCTTTTCTCTATACTCAAGATCAAAATTTATCTCCATGTTTTACATGAAACCAACTCCAAGATCACAAATAAAGGCAAATATGTAAAGAAGCAACATTCAAGGGAACATACAATCATAATCGAATACAAATAGGCTTGTTTAAAAGAATACTTCTTTGAAGATGTCTCTCATATAAATGTTCAAGCTCGAGGTAATTGGTAGTACCTGATGATTTTTGATCAAGAATCTCCTTCACTGGAAATGGTAACCAAAGAAACCCTTTCTTCTTCCGGCAAAACTGACCAATTAGGCGACTGTACAGCTCTCAGCCACCGGAAATCATCCACATTGGCCCAATTCTTAGTCTCCTCCTCCAAACCCGCCGTCTTCAAATCTTCCTCAATCCCTTGGTAATCCAAACAATAAGGAGCGAATCTGACACCATTACTGTCTTCAATTATGGGACGACTCCTCACTCTCAGGTAGAAATCACTCTTCCTAGCGCAATGGATTCTGATCTGATGCGACGCCAATACAAGAACACAATCCTCTACGTCATCAATCAGAATCGAACCAATCACTGGACCTGTGTACACATTACACTTCTTCAATCGGTGAAGGAACAGAGCGTTAACAGTTCCTGTTAATTTTACTTGACATGAATCAAGATCCGACAATGTGAATTCTCCGATCGACGAGCCTTTGAAACTTTTCACCAGAGTCACTCCGTGTTTGTTTCTCAATCCCGGAGAATCGCGTACGGAGAGGAGTTTCGGAGGTAAAACGGCGTCGGATTTCTGTATCTCCGGGAGTTTTGATTCCGGCTTTTTGGTCGTTGATTTGCTCTTGAACGAGAACTTCTTCTTCGGAACTAACTCGCCGGAGAGAATATCGAGACTCTGTTTGAGATCGGATACAATTTTCAGAGAGGATCGAACCTCGTAGGAAGGAAGAAAATACGAGTTCTCAGCGAGAAGCTTCTCCAGATTGTTAATAGCTACGGAGATCTCAGCAAGATCCGATTTAAGCTTCGACGAATCCGTAGAGGAGGAAACGAGTCGTGACTCAGCGATCCGAGACTCGATGGATCGCTTTGAATCGGAGAATTTAGCGAGAAACGAGGATGTCGATTCAAGAGTGGAGGAGGACGACGAAGAGGAAGCGTCAGGTGAATCTGATTTTCGAGCTTGGTGACGAGCAGAGAGACGCTCGAGCATGTCATGGTGCTTCTTCTGCAATGCCGGATCTAGGGTTTCGGCAGCGAAGCTCTGATCGTTGTCTTCCATATCGTTTACCCCAATTGTGTGATTGTGACGGCGGCGTTTCCGAACCCAAACTAAGACCAAGATTAACCTAAACGTTGTCGTTTTACTGAAATGAAAATGATGAAACAGTGATATTGCAAATTTGTCCTCCATGATGTGAAGTGTGCTGACATAAACCTCAGGTTATCTATTGATTACAAAATAGCCCAAAATCAAGAGTAGAATCAAAATTAAAACTCTCATCTAATGTTGATAAAAGGGGTTTATGTGTATTTAGAGTGCTCATAAGTTCTAAGGTTTTATGGTTTGGATTAGTTAATGTTATATATTTTATAAATCAACGTTCTTTCAATACGTGATATAGTAATCTGTCACTAATATCATTATTCTTACTTGTTATTACCCTAGATATAAATTCACACATAACACGTTTTTCTTACCATGGGATTGTAGATAATAATAAAAAATGATATCAATTAATTTCTTATCTTTAAAATTTTTATTTTATGATCATACAAATTAAAACCGATACAAAAGCGGTTTTAGTTGTTCAATTGAGCATTTTGTTCAAAGATTGGATGTCTCGGTGGTTTGCAACAGCAACTCGACTTGGTTCTAAATGATGCACAAGTCCAGTCTTTATAACCTTTCGACTTGCAAAGCTGCTGACAATTGTCATTGCACGGTCCAATACAGTCGGCTTGAACAGTAATTGCAGTTGCTTGACCTACAAAAATAATAAAAATTACTAGTTAGAAAGAAATGTAATATGTAAAGCCAAAATATATTGTAAACTTTAACATATGAGATATAAGGGTATAGCTAAGAAAGTATATAGAAAAATGAGAATAATTAGAGTGCTTGTTTAACCTGCAATCACCAACAATAAAACTATTGCGATAGTAATAACATCTAAAGATTTGATCTTGGCCATTTTTTTCGGAAGTATTGTTCTAAAGTATAATGTAGTGTTGTAAAATATTTTCTTATGTTTTGTGTTGATGGATTGTGTTGAGATCTAATGAGTTTTTATATAGATAATTGATGACACAAATTCCAAACTAAAATCAAACAGATACATTGAACCAACTTATTTTTATAGGAATTTTGACTACAAAGTAAATTGGTAAAATATAATTTGCCATATAGTAAATTTGGTAGAAAATAATTATATATAAAGAAATATATCACAAAAAGTTTAAACATGTATTGGTCAACATAATAACTTGATTATATAAGTAAAAATGAAAATAAAAGATATAGTGACTATTTTTAAAAATGTATGTTAAGGAATACCATATTTTTTTCTTTTTGTTTCAAAATATCAAAAGTATTAATAAAGACAAAATTTCATAGCATATAATTAAGGTATGGCATTTTAGGTGATAAAAATAAAATTTTATGATATTTCATTATATTAAAGATAAAAAGTTTATACCATATAATTAAGTAATGATATTTTAGGCTGTAAAGATAATTTTTATAATATTTAATTATATGTGATATGAAAACTAATTTTTTTACAGCATATGATTAAGATTTGGGCACAACAGAGAATTAAGTTTAAACTATCAAAAGACAAAGTAAGGTTAATAAAATAACAATTCAAACAATAGTAAGTTTTCAAAAAATAAAAGTGAAATTTCGTAAAGTTGACAAATTTGGAGGTGTAATTTGCAATATTGACTGAATAGTTTTTGATCATCAAATCCACATCTTCCTTCGTTGCTTCTTCGCTTTTAACAGAAAAGAAAAAAGAGAAAACTTTAATAAATAAATCGATCCTCTTCTCTTCGGCTCCTTCGAAATCTGAATTATCCGATCGAATCGAACCATCGCAGAGGCTATAGAAGAGGATAATACTTCCTTTGAGTCAAATCGGACGAGTCAGGAACAGGAAAAACGGTGATACGGAAGCTAGTTCTAGGGCTAATGGGCGCCGCGGGCTCCAAACTCGAGAAAGCTCTCGGCGACCAGTTCCCCGAAGGAGAACGCTACTTTGGATTCGAGAATTTCGGCAACACTTGCTACTGTAACAGCGTTTTGCAGGTCCTTATCTCTCTCTATCCTTTAGTTTCACTGCCTTTTGTTGTTTCCCCCAATCTCGAATTCGACTTTGACGATTTCTTCTGGGTTTTGTTGAATTAGTGTCTTTTAATCCCTAAATATGAGACGCTTTTTCCCAATTAGAATCGTATCAGGGTTTGATTTCAAATTCGATATCTAATATGAGGTTAATACTTATGTGTGCAATTGCAATTGTGTATCCATTTGTCGATATGAATGAGTTCTCTGGACTAGAGAAAAGGCTTTTGCTGATCATTGGCTAGTGATCTTCTTCAACTGAAATACTTTTATGTATTGAATCTCTCTTCCTTGTGCAGGCTCTTTATTTCTGTGTTCCTTTCCGTGAACAATTGCTTGAATACTATACCAGTAATAAAAGCGTTGCTGATGCTGAAGAGAATCTTATGACCTGCCTGGCAGACTTGTTTTCGCAGGTATATATCATCTTTGCCTTTCTTTTCTCTTTTTGAGAGTTTCATTTTTTCTTTAGTCTTTCGTGCTAGTCCTCACTTGAATCCTGTCTTAACTCAAGTCACCAATCATTCATTCACTGAAAAATGTTTTTCTTGTGCAAGCTTGGTTTACTCTTGATTTTTCACTTGACATCATAAGTGGATTAAGTCACTTATTTAAAGACACAAGTCAATGTTTTTGGCATAGCATGAATTTGATACTATTGTGTATATTGTTAGTTTATCTTCGAGAATTTAAATGTTCTTGATGTAGTGCTTACTATATCATATCCTGTCATCATCTGTTTGATTATGGTATGCTAGTCATTCTGTAGAAAAAAGAGAGTGTAATCATTAGTCTGATCATTTTAATTCATTCCGTAGATAAGTTCCCAGAAGAAGAAAACTGGTGTTATTGCGCCTAAGCGATTTGTACAGAGGTTGAAGAAACAAAATGAGCTGTTTCGGAGCTATATGCACCAGGTAATCTTTGCAAATCTCCCCATCTTTTCAGGCGCTATTTTACTGAAGATGTGAGAAACATTTGATTAATTTTGCGTTTCTACCCTCATGTAGGATGCACATGAATTCCTGAATTATTTGCTGAATGAAGTTGTTGACATACTGGAGAAAGAGGCAAAAGCTACAAAAACTGAACATGAAACCTCGTCATCATCATCTCCCGAAAAGATTGCAAATGGACTGAAAGTTCCTCAGGCAAATGGTGTTGTGCACAAAGAGCCTATTGTTACATGGGTGCACAATATTTTTCAGGTTAGTTGTTTTTAATGAAAAGGTTCACTTTTCCTTTTAAGGTGCGACTATGTAGTGCAATTTTTGGCTAAATATAAATTCCGGGTATGTACACAGGGCATACTTACCAACGAGACAAGGTGTCTGCGATGTGAAACAGTGACAGCCAGAGACGAAACATTCCTAGACCTTAGCCTTGACATTGAACAGAACAGTTCGATAACTAGCTGTTTGAAAAATTTCAGCTCCACAGAGACGCTTCACGCTGAAGACAAATTCTTTTGTGACAAATGCTGCAGGTAATTTGTTGGTTCAAATTTCAATTCCTCAGCTTTCCTTTTAATAGCTGCAACTAAATACTGGTCTTTAAGCTCCCTCTTTTCCTTCAATGGCTGCTTTGTATGATTAAGCGCTCCAAAGTGTTAGACTTTGTTACGCGCAGTGGGACTGAAGCCTGATTATTGAGTGTTTATATTTGCAGCTTACAAGAAGCACAGAAGAGGATGAAGATCAAGAAGCCACCACACATCCTAGTCATCCATCTAAAACGATTCAAATACATCGAACAGCTAGGCCGCTACAAGAAGCTCTCCTATCGAGTTGTCTTCCCTTTGGAGCTAAAACTGAGCAACACAGTGGAACCATACGCAGACGTGGAGTACTCTCTGTTTGCAGTGGTGGTTCACGTCGGAAGTGGACCTAATCATGGTCATTACGTCAGCCTTGTGAAAAGCCATAACCATTGGCTCTTCTTTGATGATGAGAATGTTGAGATGATTGAAGAATCAGCTGTTCAAACATTCTTTGGATCGTCTCAGGAGTATTCGAGCAATACTGATCATGGTTACATCTTGTTCTATGAGAGCCTTGGACCGGCCAAGTAAAAGCTGAGAAAGCAGAAAGAAGGACTTTCTTCGTTTTTTTTTTCCTTAACTATTATTAGTAATGGTATATGTTTGTCTTAAAAGTCAAACTCAATTGACAGTAACTTTTTCTTTCTTTCTTTGTCTCTCTCTCTCCCAAAGATACTTGGTGAGTTTAAAATTGGAAGTTTTAACTGGAATTTGTATACTTTGAAAAAGCCCATGTACAGTTTATGGCAAATAACTCCTTGTGTTTGTATCAAACAAAGAAAAAAAGCAAGGAAGATGATAACAATATGTTGAGGTACATTTATCTGTTTTTTAAATTTGCCTAATGTTTTGTATTAGTGTCGTCTTAAAGTTGCATGTTAAATAATTTTTTCCTTTTCACTACAAAACAGAATGTCAAATTGTTGTTAGTGTTGTTATATATAATGGCATCTAAAGTTACGGCCCATTAAGGAATTTTGGGCTGATAATGAAATTAGGCCCCGCGATAATCACGTTGTCGTGAGAATAAAGTTAAAAAACAAACAAACAAAGAGACAAAACTCAAAAGAAAGTTCACGGGAGAAGTTGACGAAGAAGATACAGACAGAGAGGCTTGGATCACCCGTGAGCTATGATGTGATTTTTTCTCTAACATAAATGTTTTCATTATGTGATTTTTACAGATTTAAGAGTTATTAAGAGTACTACTTCCAAAACTATGACATATTTGTTTCTTCTAACCTCACACACAAAAAAAAATCTGATATATAATGTATTTACTTAACAATGAGTCAATAAAAAATCAAAAGCTGGCAATGGCATGGAGAATTAAATGCATATGACATTTACACATTTCAACAAAAATGAGAAAAAAAAAGAAGTGCATGGGTGGATTTGATATGGTTGGTTAATGTCTCTTGATTCTTGTATACCATTTATCATATTGTTTCCCCAATAAAAAAAAAATGATTGTTTTTGTGCATTACAAAAAGGTAGTAGACAGCTCATAAATAGTAAATTGTAATTATGACTGATAGTATCAAACAACACAAACCTACAGAGAAAAAGAAAAAAAAGAGAGTACAGACATGCATTAATTTGTCAGTAAATGTCATAATGTTGATGATGATCCCATTTGTAATAATTAAAAAAGTATGAAATCTCTAGCTAATCAAGTTTAATTAGGAGTAGTTATATTAACATGATCCATAATGAATAAAAGAAAAAGTAAAAGGGTAATATGGTAAAATAAGGGAGGCGAAGAATGAGGATTTGTCGTTATCCGTGATGTCGCAATCAGATGAAGAAGAAGCCATCACTCACAGGCGAATCGCGCCGGGCCCGGAGAAGAGCGTCTTCCTCATCTCTCTCTCTCTTTAGTTGTTCTTCTTCTTCTTCACTTTCTCTCTGAATCTGCCGTCACAAGGAAGCTTCCGATTCAAAACACTCTCTACATGCATTGTTGTTGTACACTATACGAGTCTTCAAGCTTCGTCTTCCCCTTTTGTTTGAGAATCGTTTCTAATTTCCTCCGTCGCTCTCTCTTTTCTCTCTCGCTGCAATGAGTGATTTCTTAGATGAGGTTAGTTTGATTACTCCTTCGAATGTTGTTGTTTCAATCGATTTGGGGTGTTTTATTTTTGGAATCGAATCTTCGATTTGGGAATAATGAGAAGAAGATGAGACTTCGGGTTCTTCAGATTCGATTCTGCAAGTGTTTTTGTCTTCATTTGATTCTAATCTTCCTGCATTTGGCCATATCTTTCTCTTAGGAAGGATCATGAGAGAAGACTATTTTAGGAATTTTACTTATCTTGGAACTGTTTAGTGTAGTCGTCACTTTCTTACTTATGACAAGAGAAATTAGTAATTCATCAAATTAAGAACAAATTTTGAGTCTAACTAAATCTAATTGACTAATCAAGTTGTACAGTGTTACTGTTTGACACAAGATTCTGATGTATATATCTACAGGGGAAGCAGCAATTCGCAAGTGTTGCAGATGGGAATGTACCAGTCAAGTATCCAAGCTTCAAGCCACCTAAGTCGAGTTTCGGAGATGTTGGCAAACATAGTGCCATTGGTAAAGCTAATATGGATTATGCTCTTCTAAATCAGTGTATCATGAATTCATGATCAAATGCTAATGTGTAAACTGACCTTCTGTTTTTTGCCATGTAGATGTTTTTCCACTTCTTGTCAAGGAGTCTGCATATCCTTTGATAGAAGACCGTGGCATCGATACTTCACTGGTGAGTTCTTTATTTGTTTACAAGTCCTTAATGGAGTGAACTCAAGCCCTTTTGACTTTTTCGAAACTAGGATTTTCTTAGACTGGAACAGGACTTTACTCAGTTCCATTACGCTTTGAAAGAGGTTTGATATGTTAATTAGTAGATCACTGGTACATCTGAGAACTAAATAGAATTCCGGAAGCATTGTGAGTGTTCTATGATAAGGTGTGCTAAGTCCTTCAAACTCTGCCATATTTGTATAGGTCCAAGACGTGTGTACTATCTCAGTCTTACCTGATGAAGGAAATACAATCCCACAATGTACCTCACAGTTTACTCTCTTGAGCTTCGTCAAGGCTCTGCTTCCATCTAAAAATCAGATGTTGATGGATGCGCAACTGAATTGTCAGAAAACGCAGAACCGCATCAATGTGCTACTGGGAGGCACAGATTCCTACCAATCATGCGTTGTAGACATTAATGTCGAGAAAGGGAATGGCGGTGAGACAGTGACATCTCAAGACGAAGTTGTTGGAAGTGTGAAATCTGAGAGTGTAGTAAGTTCTTTCTATTTGTCAGCAACAACATTTGCTAGTTTGCTTGGTCCATGTCGAAAAGATGATATCCAAATGTCTGACTCTTATGTGGTTACTATGTTATTTTTCACAGCATATGCAAAAGGTATTACAGAGACAAGCAAGCATGAGCACTGGTAAGATAACAATATTTCATTGAAGTTGCATAATTGAAAGTTTGCCTGCTGTGTTTATGCACTGAATTTTACGAAATTTCTGTTGCAGATAAAGCTATCTCCGAGCGATGCCACGATGCACCAACGAACAGGTGGAGAAGATACAAGCGTGCCGCTTCATTTGATTCAAGGAAAATCGTCATCCTATTCTCCATCTTGTAAGTATATACCTCTACGTACTTAATGCGAATAAATCTACACTAACAATGCATTCACTAGTAACTTTAAATGTCTTGGATTGCAGATCAAGTGTGGGAACATTGATATTGATCTACCTGACACTGAGAGTGAAGCAAAACGGAGACAACAATAACAGCTTCAATCACATGTAAACTGTAACATCTCTTTTGGCCTTTTCTCTCCTTTGTTGTCTCGGTGTTTTGAATCTCTTTCCCAAAACTTGTCTTTTGTTCCAAGTTTCATAATGTTGATAATAACACTTGCAAATGCTTAACGCGCCTGTAACTAAACAAGAAGTTAAAAAAGTAAAACAAAAGTAGAATCAACAGTGCTTAGCATCGTGATCATCATTACTCTTTTAGTATACACTTTATACCAGAACAACAACAGGTCTTGTGATCTCTCATAGTCATAGATCATATGCAATAAATACCATGTTAAATAATTGTATGCAAATAATTAACAAGTATTATTTTAATGTTAATGTATAAGATGATATTGCACAAACTTTTCTTGATATTTTGGTTCACTAATTTATTCGAATAAATCAACAAGAACACTTACTGTGTTACAAGTATTTAACGTGTGACTAAAAAAGAAGATTCAAAAGTAAAACAAGAGAAGAACAAATAAAAGGATAACGTTTTCCGTTTTCCAAGAACAAAGAAACAACAACAAAATCTTCCCGACGATAATCATAGTTGCCAAAACAAACGCCGATGTCCAATTCCGCCGCCAAAGAATCTCCGTTGTTTCCGTTGTCGTCATTACCAGATGAAGTGGCTTTGAGCTGTCTAGCTCGAGTCCCGAGATCGGACCACTTAGCCTTATCTCTCGTCTGCAAAAGATACCGTTCTCTCGTACTATCCCCTGAGTTCTACAAGATGCGATCACTATTGGGTCGCACAGAGAAGTGTATCTACGTATGCGTAAGCCCCCATCCTAACTCAACCCCACTCTGGTTCATCTTCCGCCCTGAAAACGCCGCCGTGAATCGTCGTTTTATGCGTCCGATCCCTTCGTTCCCCTTTCAGCCTCCGCGAACATCCTCCGTGGTGGCACTGGACTGGGGGATTTATGTAATCGGTGGATTTGGGTTAAACGAGAAGCCCACTTCGGATGTCTTGCTCTTGGATTGTCGGACTAACACGTGGCGCCTAGTCCCTTCCATGAGAGTGGCTCGATTTAGTCCTGGAGCTGGAGTCGTTGACGGGAAGATATACGTGTTCGGTGGCCGAGCGGACGATGATTCGACCAACTGGGGAGAGGTATTTGATCCAAAGACTCAAACTTGGGATACTTTAGTGCCATTGCAGGATAGGAGTGAAAAAGATGGTTTCATCCGCGAGAGCCTTGTTATGGAGGACAAGGTTTATGGAGTGAAATGGTTTGCAGGAAGTGTTTATTACTCTCCCAGTGATGGTAAATGGGGAAGAACGAATAGGCCAGATCTTTTAAGTTATTGTGTAGTTGAGGAATTGTTATACGGTTTTGATATGAGCTTCGGGCGAGTGTTTTGGCGCGAGTCTGATGAATCGGAATGGAAGATAGTAAAGGGTTTGGAAGCTCTACAGATGATTTTTCATGGGCAGTTTTTTGGTAACTCTATGTTCTCTAAGAATATCAGCCAAGTGAACTCTTTTGGTGTGAACGTTGTCCTCTTCTGGCTTGAGCGTAGTGATGATGATGAGAGATTGGATGTTTGGTGTGCCGAGGTTTCGTTCGAAAGACGAGAGGAGAAACGTGAGATTTGGGGTAAGATTGAGTGGAAGGAAGCTGTCACAACAGTTGATCGTGCTCCTTTTGGTCCATTTGGTGGTGATCATAATAAGGTCTTGTATTCTGCTACCGTCAATATCTGATAAACTGATCAACTACAGAACAAGGCAAAGATTCACTTCTGTAATATAGTTTGATCCCACTGATGGAGGAAAATGTTTACTCTTCTCTTTGATGTTTTTTATATTCTGAGTCTGTTAATAAAATGAAAATCACAAAACTATCTTGATTCCTTTTGTTTGCTTCACAAGTTTCTTAAATGGAGTATGTATTTTGAATCAACAAGAACAGCCGCCTCCACCACCTGCTCCTCCTTGTTGCTCACCTTGTGATGAATTTGAAGTGGTCTTTAGATTCACATCAACCATGTCCTCGGATTTCGTCACCAATGAATATGTGTCCACCCCCGGTAAAGCTGCAGCAATCTTTCGGAACAAAGCCTGCAAATTGAAGAGATTTGGTGTTAGAAATCAGACAACAACAAAACACTCACTCGCGCTGGCTCTTGATTCTAGTTATTTCATCATACCTTAATGTTGAAATTTTCTTTGGCGCTGGTCTCGATGAACATCACTCCATACTCTTTACCCTTATCTTCCCCTTCACTGATTGATACTTGCCTGTTTTCATTATAACAAGATTGATACATATATAAGGACAGAGAGAATTATATATCCCATCGAATCAGAAGCCAATTTTTGCTTGTTGTTTTTTTATTTACCTTTTTTCAACAAGATCAGTTTTGTTACCAACAAGAACAATAATAACATTGCTTTGACCTCTTTCTCTGTGTACATCCTCAATCCATTTCGAGGTATTCAGAAACGTTTGCCTATCTGCAACACAAGTATTGAACACATAAGACACAGAGAGTGAATCGAAGAATCAAGAGAAGTGGGAAACAAAGCAGGACTCACTGGATACATCATATACAACAATGGCAACAGAAGAATCTCTGATGTAACTTGGGATTAGACTCCTGAATCTTTCTTGTCCAGCCGTATCCCTTCAATCAAAAACTCGTTTTGTCATTCTTTTGAAACTAAAATGTTGGTTTTTAGGGTAAATAGCAAAAGTAACATTGTTCTCACCATAGCTGCAAACGAACTGTTCGATCTTCGAGGTACATTGTTTTCGAAAGAAAATCGATTCCGATGGTAGGCTGCAAAGAGAGAACACAATAAAGGCTTAATGACTAAATAACACGTAATTAATGAGATATTACACCTAAAGCAAAAAGTAACAGTGCTTAGCATCGATCTTGATCGTAATAAGAAGAACAGATTGATCAACAAATTCACTGAAGAATTGTGGAAAACCAAGTGATCAACGACGTAATATATGACCAATAACATGAGATGAAATCGTCAACAATCGTTATATAGGAAACCAAATATACTGAATCAGATTAAACAATAAACGAAAACAAAAATAAACTTGTTGTCACAGAGAATTTCTATCAATCAACAAAGAAATGAAAGGAATCAATTCTTAATCATGGAAGGAAGGAATCGGTGTTTAATAATACCTGGTAAGTGGTGTCGAATTTGTCATACATGAAACGAGTGATGATGCTAGTTTTTCCGACAGATTGATCTCCTAAGAACACCAGTTTAAACTTTGCCAAAGCTGAAACCGCCGCCATGTTCGGTTCGAAGAAGATGGAAAATAAGAAAAAAGTGTGATTCAAAGATCCGAAGATTCAGAGTTTCGTCTTTCCTAGGTCTCGAAGAAGAAGAGAAGGAGAGCACGACGACGATGATGACTCGGTCGCACACAAAACTTGACAGCCCTTCACAAATCGCCACGCGCCAATATTTTGTAACACCGATCAAAACTATTCAACGATTTCCGCGGGACTTTATATAGAGAGCGCGTCCATGTAACTCGCCTGGCATGCGGTTGTGTAATCTTTAAAAAGTTTTTTGGTATTTTGATTTGGTTTTATATGTTTTCTAAAATTTATAGATAGATTGCTATGATAATTGTTAGTAATTTTTATAAAATAATTACTAATTTGATATATTTGCTAACCATGTTTCCAATGAAATTTACATACATTTCTGATTTCTCACCTGTTTCTTTAGTTTTTCTAATTGACTTTTGGGGTGGTTTTGTTTTTACAAAAATGCAATTTGAAAATTCCACTGGAGGAGACTTGTATCCAATACTAAACACCAAGCTACTAGTCCACAATGTGGTGGGATTTTTGGGATGATCCGATATGAAAATACTTGCTAAGCTAGTGAATTGTTACAGAGTTTTATCAAACGTTTTTGCATCAGCGTAATGTGATTGAACATTTGAACATAAAACCCAAATCAACAGAAATTAAGAGGTTTCTCAAAACTTATAAGACAAACAAAAACACCATCACCTGAGTTATCACTTATAGATTGTACTTAAAAAGAAAAAATGAAGTTCATAACCATTTCTAGATTAAGAGCTTATGATTCAGATTTATTAGCCAAATCTCAGAAACACTGAGAGCTTATAGGATTCACAAACCTCAAGCAATAGAAACAAAATCAATAATCCGATAGCTAAAGAAACACAAACCCAGATCCTCATAAACCCTACTTACCAACAAATCTCATGTTGCTCCATGGAAACTTCGCCGTCCCCGCCGCCGCAGCACCAGCCCTCGTCGGCGAATTAGCCCTTTCACCTCCACGACGACCTTTACCTTTTCCATAACCGCCAATCTCCCTCTTCTCCTTGCGATCAAGCCAATGACTCTTCTTATCATCTTCTTCCTCAACAAAGCTAGATCCTTTCACTTTACTCTTCCTATCTTCCTCAATAAACTTCACCGGAAACAAATCCCTAGAAATCGACAAAGGGCTACGTAGCGTCACGTAAGCCTTCTTGTAATCAGCTTTCGCTATCAACAAACCTCCACGCTTCTTCTTCTTCCCATCCATGTTCAGTGTATTCACCTTCTCCACATCGAATCCGTAGAGTGACTCGAGGACTCGTTTGATCTCGATCTTCGACGCCGAAGGGATCGTTTTCAACGCGAATTCATGAATGTTTGTGAGCTTCGCAGGCATCAGAAGCTTAATCGGAAGATTCGCGAAATGAACCACTCGTCCTCCCAATCTACTCCCCATTTTGAGATTTTGAAATCGGAGTTTTTAGGTCAGAAATGAAGAAAGCCAAGGGTTTTTGTTTCTTCTTCTTCTTCCCTAAAATCCCCTCTTCACTCATATGCTTAAATGGGCCTTAATGGGCCTAATAGGTCGTTTTATTTTTGTTATTTCAGTCCCAAAAATCATTCATTACAAGTGAGAGTAACAGAGAGGTGATTTTAGCCAGTTACAAAGGTAAGACAACAACATTTCTTTTACTACAGATTTACAATAGCAACAACAAAAGAAGCGAATCCCTCACTTGAATTCATTTCGTTTTTCTTTATAATGATCATGACCATCTGCAAAGACCAGGCTCCATTGTTTTGCTGAGAGATAGAATCTCATCATACTTTGAGCCATACACAAATCCCCATAGCTGCAAGAATCAATGAATGGTGTGTTTGTTTGTTTTAGTAAAAAGGTGTTGCAACAAATTGAAATATGGATGAAGTTAAATCCTACCTCCACTTCCTTAACATCAAAGTCCTGAGAGTTTGCGAGACAGGAGTTCCCGTAAGTCTCTGAGTAAGCACTTGATCCACTTAGCCTATAAGAACACGATGAATCAATCGATTTGAGCAAAAAAAGGGTTGTTGTTTGATGCAATATGATGAAAGTGGGAATAGGATTTTAAGAGTTTTGGTAGGAAATCTTACAGCTCACTGTCCAGATAGAGAGCAAACCGTCCACCACCACCTAGAGCTAGGAATTCCTTGGAGCATAAAGTGTAGAACCGATTTGCGCCTGCTCAAATGTAAACTATAATTACAACTGAACAAGGAAACAACTCCAAGAAGTTTTATGTATCTAAGTAATGCATAATAATACCTGTGGGACGGTATATTGTGGGTTGTCCTGACTTATTTGTGAAAACAAATGTACTATTGGTTCCCTGACAAAACAACCAACACAAAGATTGTCACTTAAAGTGAAAAGAAAGAAAACGGGATAGATGGAATCTATATAAAGATTGGATCTTGAGAAACAAAAACAAACCTGATACTTTTTATCAGTTGGTATCAAAGGTGCCTCAACAAGACCACCAAAAACTGAACCTTTTCTGTCTCCAACAACCTGATACACCGATGGTTTCCATAGAGCTCAATAAAAGGTTCACACTTTTACCATATAAAATCAACAATTTGAATCAGAACAAGAATTTCACTTACCAGTAAGCTAAGACCAGGCCAGAGAAGGCTTTTCCTGTACAGCGTGGATAGTGATATACCATGCCTCCATGTACTAGAAAATTGCAACAGGTCAAACGAAATGATCACACACACGGATAGAATACAATATATGAACAAACCATACTTAAGATTTCTAATCAGCTCCAAATGCTTTGAATGTGTTCTCTCACCTATAAAGCAACATCCATTTCCTCCCTTGAACAAGCGCAGGAAGTGAAGTATAAAGGGAGCGTCTTGACTGGTCCGATAAAAGCAAAGAGGGTTCTGAAATTTCAGGTATAATTGCTTGCACTATTGTTGCTTCTTCTTTGACATTATTATTCTGCATCGGCTTCATCTCCAAGCCATCATACTCAGTCTCTTCAGCATCTGGTGTCACATCAGAATTTCCCTTCCGCTCCTTGACCCCAGGAAACTTAACAGCCTGGTAAAAGTTCCTCAAATGCTGTTTGTACTTGGACAAAAAACTCTTCTTTGTAGCACCACTAGTAGCCTCCTTCATTGTTCTAGTAGGATTGGCCGAGGATGATGATGTATCGCTTGTTTCTGCCTCAGAATCTTCTTCTTCTTCTTCTTCTTCTTCTTCTTCTTCTTCTTCTTCTTCCTGATCCTTATCGTTCTTTTTGTCTTTGGGATCTGAAGATAACAGTGAACCAAGGAAAGCAGAGAAAGAAGAAGTGTCTGGTTCGTCTACCAAATCCTTAGGCTGCTCTGCAGTGACAGACTCTAGCTGATTTCTCTTAGACTCATCTTCCTCATCCTAATTAAGAAAAAAAATTGAAAATGAACCAGAGCTCATTAAATGATCACACAAATTGAAACTCCCACCTAGACACACTCAAAATCCTCAAGCAAGCATCAACACCAAAGCCCAAAAAACAGAAACCTATTACACCAAATGACCAAATTCCCAGAGTCAAGAACAAAGATAAAGACTTTAATCCACAAGAACCCTTTTTTAGAATAATAGTTGGATTGGGTCAACACAAAAACACAAAAAGATGAAAACTTTGGTACCGGAAGAGGACGAGCGGAGGAGGGTTTATCAGAGATAGGATTAAGAAGACCAGCGGTGAGATCGGTGACAAAGTGCACTGCTTTGCTTCTGAAAGATTTGTGTTTCCCCATTCTTCTTCCTCCTTTTTAACTCTATCCTATTTTTAGTGAAATTAAAAACTTTCAGATTCCACACGATCCTCTTTGACAAATCTAAACCACAAATTGAGTCAGCTTCTCTTCCATCTGTAATTAAGCTGTGATCATTTACCTAAAACTCCATTCTTAGAAAAATTAGAAACAACAAGTTCTAAACAAGAAGACCATCTCTCTCTTTATCCCTTTCCCTTACCTTTTCTCTTATCTTATCCACTCTCAAATTCTCCACTCAAATTTTCCTTAAAGAGCTGAATTTTATGGCGAGGGTTTTTGAGACAGCTTAACTAAAAAAGACGATCATTCGGTAAGAGAAGGCGACGAGCTACGAGAAAAGTAGACTTCACGCTTTTAAGTCAATTGTTTCATATAATTAGCTTTTGTAGAAAGTCTTCATCCAATAAGGCTCCATGGCCCAATGGATAAGGCGCTGGTCTACGAAACCAGAGATTCTGGGTTCGATCCCCAGTGGAGTCGATCCCCAGTGGAGTCGTTTCCTTTTTTATTTACAAATTTTGACAAATTCGAAAACGATGACGTATTGAAACCATACTTGCTTTTTAAGCGAAGAGTTAAAAATGCAGAAACAGTTAAGAAACTTCAAAGTACTAGAGACGACACCAAAAGGTTTACAAGGATCAGTACAATGAGCTCTCTTCAGATTTTCCTAGAAGAAAACCGAAATATAGCTCTAGTGTTTTTCGCGAAACCAGACTCTAAGAAACTAAATTCTAAAGAACCTGAAACATGAGAGCTGAGCATATCGCGGTTAATACCAAATAGACCCCGAGTCTTAGACCAATGAAATGCTGCTTTCACCGCCGGGAGGCTTCCTCACACCACCAAAGTAATCTCGGGATTCTGACTTCCCGTCTGCGAAAATGTTGTTTCCGCTCATTTCCCGGAGTTTAGCTGAGCTTAACTGCTTATCCGCAGTACCAGGTGATTCATCGCCTTTGAAAATGCCGTTGCCTGTGAGTTCTTGAAACTTCTGGTTATGTATCTTCTTTGATGTCTTCACAACAGGTTCTTCACTGAATAGTATGTTGCTTTGTCCACCTGCAGGCTGTTGGAAATAATGAAAAAGAAAATCTCAATGGAATACAAAATTAACTGATTTGGGCACTTACTTTAAGTTTCCTTTGAAAGCAATTCCAAGATAAAATTTACTTACATTGGAAACTTTAACAGAAGTGCGTAAGTTCCTTGGTGCAGGCTCTCCCATGTCTCTGTTACCTCTAGCTTCTTGCTGCGCAGCAACCAAAGATCGAGGTTGGATCTCAGATGGAGGTCCAAAGATGTCATGACCGCTGATCTCTTCAATCTTAGCACTTGATATCTGCTTGTTGCTCTTTAAGTCTGCCTCGGTTAGCAAGTTCCCGCTCAGCTCTCTTTGCTTTGCGACCTCGGTTAAAGTGGTTGGTTTCTTCGGGGAAACATTACCGTCAGCACTGAAAGATATCTGACTCATTCCATTCAGCGTCTGCTGCAAAATTCAGAGTACATTACATAACTACCATTTCGATTCACACTTGTCTAAATCTATTGAAACATAAGACAAGACAAGTAAAGCTACCTGATAGTAACGGAGTCCAGTCTTTGGATCAGTAGCATCGGATTCAGACCCGACTTTTCCCTTATCATTAAATATGCCACTACCAGTCATCTCTTTTAACTTGTACCCTGAACAATTCTTCCTGTAAGAAATCGTAAAATAGCCTCATAGATCGGTAAAGCAACAACCTTTACATGTAATTCAATGGTTATGGATTGATGAAACCATCATTAAAGAATTTAAAATAACAAAGAACAGTAGTAGTTTGACATGTAAATGGTGTGGGGCTTTGATGAATGTAATAAAATATGAAATTAAAATCCTCAGAAAAGCCAAAAGCATTTGACCAATCCCTTTCATAAATTCATCACTCAGAAAAAGAACTGACTTCATCATACAAAGGAACCATTTTTGTGAAAAGGTAATCACTTTCAAGAGCAAGATCAAGCCTTTTTAAACTTTCATTTTTCAGGTGTAATACAAAAATCAAATCCAGGTACTTAGATCTGGTAATGCAATGAGAGATGAGATTCTTTTACAGCTTATTAAGCGACTGAGCTTCCTCATCTGTGATCTGACCACCGCCGAGAATCTTGCTGATTCCATCGGACGGCTGAAAATGAAAGAAGAAAACTCAGCTTCTCTATAGAAAGATTTAAAACAAAAGTGACGACATTTGTTGAAGAAACGGACCTGGTGAGAACGAGCGGCGGAAGAGGTTGAGTGGTGAGGAGGAGGAGTTTCCGACCAAGAAAGCAGATCGGCGGTGGAAGTGTGAGGGTTTCTCACCGGCGTGTTTCTCTCCATTTTTCTTTTCTCTTTCTTCTGATTCAAAAGGAGACTGAAAATGTTTCTTCTCCTTCAATGGAAAGATATTTTGTTTTACTTTAAATCAGCAAAAAAGAGAGATAAAGATTAGTGTAAAAAAAATTACAAGTTTAGTGTTCTATCAACAAAGATTAAGAGCCAAAAATAGAATTGTTATTTATTGTCGTGGCAGAAATAGAGTTTTATTTAATGTTTGGATAACTCAAGAATCTAATCCAAATCGAATGAAGAAATTTATTCATGTATCAAATGGATTGTTTTTACATAAGAAGATGTACAATTGTATATAGAAATAAATACTGAAAACTTTATTAAATACTATAAACATAAAGCAAATCTTATGTAAGATGTTAAAAAAAAAACAAAATCTTATGTTATTCAAATCTTTTTTTGGTTTAATTTCTTTTTATTGGTTTGCAGCATTTTGAATATTAATTGCATATTGTCGACAATTAAGTTTTTTTTTTTTTTAATTTTAAATTTCCATTAAAAGCAGAACAATTACAAGCCTAAACAGGCCCAACAAAGGCACGCAAACCCGAAAATTAAAACCCGAAATACAAGGCCAGAAGGCCCAACAAAGGGACACGCAGGTCCACAACACACCAACAGCCAGCAACAATAAAACCAGAGGAACAACCACCCAAAACCAAACAGGAAGCTCACAAGGGAAAAAGACTTACCCAAAGTAACGGAACCAAGTCGAAAGCAATGAAGAACCAGGGGCGGAGGCCAGCTGAATCCGGGAAAGAGGATCGAGACGCTCCCTTAACGTCACAGAGATGTCTCTTATGATCGAGGCATAAGTTTAAGTTGAAGTGTAAGATATTCAAATATAAAGCAAAATTAAGATCAAAATTAATGTACTTGCATATTAAATCTACAAGTTAAATTTGTGGAATCGGCTAACGATCAAACGTCAAAGTCAAATGAGAGTATCCAAAATCCGTATAATTTTTCCATTATTTTTGTTATTTTAAAAACAAATTAGAAACTTGTATCTTAAATCTAAAAAATGATACGAAAATAAATTGAACTTGTGGAATCAAGCCTAGGCGCGGTTAATTTTCGACAGGTTTAAAATTTAACACTTCAACTAATTTTTAATTTTTTTTTGAAATTTCATGGTTTTTTAAAATTTTAGTGAAAATCATTATTATTTTTTAAATATGAGTTTAAGTGTTAAATCTATATTACGTGGAAATATTGCCGAACTTCGAACACCAAAACTTACGAACAAACGTTTAAGTGTTAAATTTGTTTAAAATTTTAGTGAAAATCATTAATATTTTTTTAAAAGGAAGTTAAGTGTTAAATCTATATATTACGTGAAAACATTGCCGAACTTCGAACACCAAAGCTTATGGACCATCTAAGGACATGATGCTTAAGCGCTGTTAGTTTTCGACGTGTTTAAAATTTAACATTTAAACAATGGTTTTATTCTTGAATTTTAAGTGTTAAATTTGTTTTTAATTTTAGTGAAAAATCATTATTATTTTTTAAAAATAAGTTTAAGTGTTAAATTTTATATTACGTGAAAACATTGCCGAACTTCGAACACCAAAGCTTACAGACCAACTAAGGACATGATGCTTAGGCGCGGTTAGTTTTCGACGTGTTTAAAATTTAACACTTAAACTAATTTTTAAAAAGTTTTAATGCAAAATTTTCTGTTTTTTTAAAATATTTTTTTCGTAAAAATTATTATTCTTTTTTAAAAATGAGGTTAAGTGTTAGGTGAAAACATTGCCGAACTTCGAACACCAAAGTTTACGGAGCAACTAAGGACAAGATGCGTAGGCGCGAAGATGCGTAGGCGCGGTTAGTTTTCCACGTGTTTAAAATTTAACACTTAACTAATTTTTATAAATTTTTAATAAAATTTCATGGTTTTATTCTTAAAATATTAAATTTTAGCGAAAATCATTATTATTTTTTTAAAAAAGTGTTAAATCTTATAACGTGAAAACATTGCCAAACTTCGAACACAAAAGCTTACGGACCAACTAAGGACAGGATGCCTAGGCGCGGTTAGTTTTCGACGTTTTTAAAAATTTAACACTTAAACTAAATTTTTAATGAAATTTCATAGTTTTATTTTTAAAGTATAAGTGTTAATTTTGTTTTAAATTTTTAGCGAAAATCATTATTATTTATTTTTTAAAAAAGAGGTTAAGTGTTAAATCTATATTACGTGAAAACATTTCCGAACTTCGAACACCAAAGCTTACGGACCAACTAAGGAAATGATGCATAGACGCAGTTAGATTTCGACGTATTTAAAATTTAACACTAAAACTAAATTTTTTAAAAAAATTCATCGTTTTCTTCTTAAAGTTTAAGTGTTAAAATTGTTTTAAATTTTAGCAAAAATTATTATTATTTTCTTCGTATTTAAAATCTAACACTAAAGCTAAATTTTAAAATTTTTAATGAAATTTCATGGTTTTATTCTTAAAGTTTAAGTGTTAAATTTTTTTTAAATTTTAGCGAAAATCATTATTATTTTTTACGTATTTAAAATATAACACTAAAACTAAATTTTAAATTTTTTTAATGAAATTTCAAGGTTTTATTCTTAAAGTTTAAATGTTAAATTTGTTTTAAATTTTAGCAAAAATTATTATTATTTTTTACGTATTTAAAATTTAACACTAAAACTAAATTTGAATTTTTTTTTAATGAAATTTCATGGTTTTATTTTTAAAGTTTAAGTGTTAAATTTGTTTTAAATTTTAGCGAAAATCATTATTATTTTTTACGTATTTAAAATTTTAACACTAAAACTAAATTTTAAATTTTTGTAATGAAATTTCATGGTTTTATTCTTTAAGTTTAAGTGTTAAATTTGTTATGAATTTTAGCGAAAATCATTATGATTTTCTACGTATTTAAAATTTTAACACTAAAACTGAATTTTAAATTTTTTTAATGAAATTTCATGGTTTTATTCTTAAAGTTTAAGTGTTAAATTTATTTTAAATTTTAGAGAAAATCATTATTATTTTTTACGTATTTAAAATTTAACACTAAAACTAAATTTTAAAAATTTTTAATGAAATTTCATGGTTTTATTCTTAAAGTTTAAGTGTTAAATTTGTTTTAAATTGTAGTGAAAATCATTATTATTTTATACGTATTTAAAATTTAATACTAAAACTAAATTTTAAAATCAATTTTTTAATGAAATTTCATGGTTTTATTCTTAAAGTTTAAGTGTTAAATTTGTTTTAAATTTTAGCGAAATCATTATTATTTTTTACGTATTTAAAATTTAACACTAAAACTAAATTTTATTTTTTTTTAATGAAATTTCATGGTTCTATTCTTAAATTTTAAGTGTTAAATTTGTTTTAAAATTGTACCAAAATCATTATTATTTTCTACGTATTAATTTAACACTAAAACTAAATTTTAAATTTTAAATTTTTTTTAATGAAATTTCATGGTTTTATTCTTAAAGTTTAAGTGTTAAATTAGTTTTTAATTTTAGCGAAATCATTATTATTTTCTACGTATTTAAAATTTAACACTAAAACTAAATTTTAAATTTAAATTTTTTTTAATGAAATTTCATAGTTTTATTCTTAAAGTCTAAGTGTTAAATTTGTTTTAAATTTTAGCGAAAATCATTATTATTTTCTACGTATTTAAAATTTAACACTAAAACTAAATTTTAAAAATTTTTAATGAAATTTCATGGTTTTATTCTTAAAGTTTAAGTGTTAAATTTGTTTTAAATTTTAGCGAGAATCATTATTATTTTCTATGTATTTAAAATTTAACGCTAAAAATAAGTTTTAAAATTTTTTAATGAAATTTCATGGTTTTATTTTTAAAGTTTAAGTGTTAAATGTTTTTATTTTAAATTTTTTTAATGAAATTTTATGGTTTTATTCTTAAAGTTTAAGTGTTATATTTGTTTTAAGTTTTTTTTTAAAAACAAATTATTATTTTCTACGTATTTAAAATTTTAACACTAAAACTAAATTTAAAATTTTTTAATGAAATTTTATGGTTTTATTTTTAAAGTTTAAGTGTTAAATTTGTTTTAAATTTTAGCGAAAATCATTATTGTTTTCTACGTATTTAAAATTTAACACTAAAACTAAATTTTAAATTTTTTTAATAAAATTTTATGGTTTTATTTTTAAAGTTTAAGTGTTAAATTTGTTTTAAATTTTAGCGAAAATCATTATTATTTTCTACTTTAAAATTTAACACTAAAACTAAATTTTAAATTTTTTTAATGAAATTTCATGGTTTTATTCTTAAAGTTTAAGTGTTAAATTTGTTTTAAATTTTAACAAAAATTATTGTTATTGTCTACGTATTGAAAATTTTAACACTAAAATTAAATTTTAAAACTTTTTAATGAAATTTCATGGTTTTATTCTTAAAGTTTAAGTGTTAAATTTGTTTTAAATTTTAGCAAAAATTATTATTATTTTCTACGTATTTACAATTTTAACACTAAAATTAAGTTTTAAATTTTTTTAATGAAATTTCATGGTTTTAATCTTAAAGTTTACGTGTTAAATTTGTTTTAAATTTTAGCGAAATCATTATTATTTTCTATGTATTTAAAATTTAACGCTAAAAATAAGTTTTAAAATTTTTTAATGAAATTTCATGGTTTTATTTTTAAAGTTTAAGTGTTAATGTTTTTATTTTAAATTTTTTTAATGAAATTTTATGGTTTTATTCTTAAAGTTTAAGTGTTATATTTGTTTTAAGTTTTTTTTTTAAAACAAATTATTATTTTCTACGTATTTAAAATTTTAACACTAAAACTAAATTTAAAATTTTTTAATGAAATTTTATGGTTTTATTTTTAAAGTTTAAGTGTTAAATTTGTTTTAAATTTTAGCGAAAATCATTATTGTTTTCTACGTATTTAAAATTTAACACTAAAACTAAATTTTTAATTTTTTTAATAAAATTTTATGGTTTTATTTTTAAAGTTTAAGTGTTAAATTTGTTTTAAATTTTAGCGAAAATCATTATTATTTTCTACGTATTTAAAATTTAACACTAAAACTAAATTTTAAATTTTTTTAATGAAATTTCATGGTTTTATTCTTAAAGTTTAAGTGTTAAATTTGTTTTAAATTTTAACAAAAATTATTGTTATTGTCTACGTATTGAAAATTTTAACACTAAAACTAAATTTTAAAACTTTTTAATGAAATTTCATGGTTTTATTCTTAAAGTTTAAGTGTTAAATTTGTTTTAAATTTTAGCAAAAATTATTATTATTTTCTACGTATTTACAATTTTAACACTAAAATTAAGTTTTAAATTTTTTTAATGAAATTTCATGGTTTTAATCTTAAAGTTTACGTGTTAAATTTGTTTTAAATTTTAGCGAAATCATTATTATTTTCTATGTATTTAAAATTTAACACTAAAAATAAGTTTTAAAATTTTTTAATGAAATTTCATGGTTTTATTCTTAAAGTTTAAGTGTTAAATTTGTTTTAAATTTTAGCGAAAATCATTATTATTTTCTAGGTATTTAAAATTTAACACTAAAATTAAATTTAAAATTTTTTTTTATGAAATTTCATGGTTTTATTTTTAAAATTTAAGTGTTAAATTTGTTTTAAATTTTAGCGAAAATCATTATTATTTTACGTATTTAAAATTTAACACTAAAACTAAATTTTAAATTTTTTTAATGAAATTTCATAGTTTATCCTTAAAATTTAAGTGTTAAATTTGTTTTAAAGTTTAAATGTTAAATTTGTTTTAAATTTTAGCGAAAATCATTATTATTTTCTAAAAATGAGTTTAAGTGTTAAATCTTTATTACGTGAAAACATTGCCGAACTTCGAACACCAGCTTACGGACCAACTAAGGACAGGATGCCTAGGCGCGGTTAGTTTTCGACGTGTTTAAAAATTTAGTACTTAAACTAATTTTTAAATTTTTTTAATGATATTTCATGTTTTTTTAATTTTAGTGAAAATTTATGGTCTTATTCTTAAATTTTAAGTCTTAAATTTTTTTAAAATTTTAGTAAAATTATTATAATTTTTAAAAAACAATTTACTAAAAAACATTATTTGTAAAAAAAAAAAAAAAGACATTTAAAAACAAAAGAGAAAAGAAAGTGTTATTTACCTGGTTTGGATTGGGGTAGTGAGGAGAATTAAAAGCCCAATAGCCAAGGCCCATTAATTAGCCTTCACTGCACCGACTCCTTGTCGAAGAAAGTCACGAAACTCAATGTTGATCTTTGATCTTCTTCTTCATGCATCCTCGGCCCTCAGGCGACTCCATAGAAATTCGAATATGCTACATAGTCCTTGTTCTCATTCGCCACCGTTGCCAAAATCTTCCGGTGAGAAACGCATAAGATGCTTCCATAGTAACTATAGATTAATTAAGAAAGAAAGTGATATCAGACATTCGATGTTATAATCAAGCGACATGAAATTAAAATCAACGGCGTTTGATGATATGAATATTAAAACAAGCATAAAAGAAATAAGGAAATAACTGTTTGTTAAAAACAGAGATGGTGAAACGCAAAAACAGAGACGCAAGGAAGGAATAATAATATACGAAACGGATTAAGAAAAAGAAAAAAGAAAGGACATTCCATCACCTCTTGAACAGTGGCGAGATCTTTTGCTCTTGTGAGTTTAGAGAGACCCGACTTGGAATCGTTCTGATTGATCAAACACGAGACTTCTTTCGAGTTACAGTTCCGATGGCATTTGTCTCTGATTTTGTCGGATTTGCATCAGTCTACATGGAGCATCGATCGGCTTGATGGTCTCGTGATTCTCTCCGTAAGAGATTTCGAGAAGAAACATGTATTACAGAAAAAAGAAGAATTAGGGTTTTTGTTTTCCTTTAGATGTATGAGAGTTATAGAAGAAGCGATCAATATATATAAGGGAAGGTTAACCTAGAAAAAGGAAATTGGTTTAATGAGAAAAAGGAAATCACTTAAAGATTAGGTTTTTCTTTTATATTTGGGTTACGAAAAAATAGAAATTGATTACAAGTCACAACGGTAATAAAAAGTTGCCGTTAGAACTTGCAACAGTCATTTTTTTTACTGTGCAACTTTTTATTAAGATAAAACATTTGATGTTTACTTATTTGAATGACTAGTGAGTGACTTAACCATCAATAATACAGAACAGAGCATTCTTTAACCATCCATGTTGTTTTTTGTCTTCGCTAACAATCAAAAGCATTCAACAAGTACCAATTCAACGTTTCGTATTTGCTGCTTTAATGAGACTTAGCAGCAAAAATCATGCACTTGTAGCAACGTTTGGGCATGGAGAGTCTTCTACTATTCAGGAAGCACCAGCTTTAATAGAGAGCTAAGCAATGTATGCAACAAAGCGTAAGAAGGAAGCCCGACGACATTGATTCATTTTCGTGTCTTCCCTTTTAAAGACTCATAGAGATCAGCTGCTGTAGAAAACTCTTGGCATCTAATAGCTCTTTGCCTTGCATCTCAAACCACCCCATCATATGCTCCTTAATACAGTTTCAAATGATAGATTGAAAACTCTGTAGAAATGTGCGAGATTCAATCACTTGAATTCCTTTTTTATTGGACGATAGAAAAACTAAAAGGTAAAAGTAATCCCAACAGAGGAAACTGAAACGAACTGTACATTATTTGAGTGATCACTATATTCTTTGTTTCTTCAAAGCTAAGAACATACTCCATAGGAGAACTCAAAATGCTCCACCAATTCAATCGCCTACATTTATATATATCTAGAATCAAATCAATCCTCCAAATCTAACAAAAGCAGTATCATCGACGCATTCTCTTCCACTCCTTGCGATCGAGGAGGAAGAATCGATAAACTACATACCATATAGCTTGCATCGTCTAATGGCTTTCACTTTATTACTTTTTTCTTTAAGAACTATATAGAGACCTTTCTTAAATGTTTTTCTGAGTTTACTCTGTTGCCTGTTCGATCGAACGGAGCTCCCAGTTTCCTTCTCCATCAATCAGCCTTAGCTCCAAGGAATGGAATGGGATCAGAGCCGGCCGCTGCGGTTTATGAGAAAATGTATGAGATTTTGGTAAGACTTCTGATGTAGTTTCATGGTACTGAGTGTATGGAAAATAATAAAAAAACTTACTTGTGATGAGGTTATGAAAGTGACGCCCATGTCTCGTGCAACCCTATAGAGCTGTTCCTCAACATCAACACTCGTCGCACTGCAAATCAAAGAGCAGATATATAATGAGAAGGGAAGATGATTGTAAAAGTACAGGGAGACTGCGGGAGAAGACTGATCATTTACTTTGTGCATTCATCAAGGACTCCAAACTTCGGTCTGTGAAAGAATAAACGTGCCTGCAATTCGAAACAACTCAGATTATTAACGTGAATCATAAAACTATATACACCTGTTGTTGCTCTCTACAAGAGACTTACCATGCCTAGTCTCTGTTGCTCTCCAAGAGATAATATGTCTTCCCAATTGGTAGTAGCATCCCAACCACCTACATCTCTTTCCAAGAGATAAACTAATCGAACATTCTCCAGAATGGTTTTCAAATGAGCATCCAGAATGCTTCCAGCTTCTGTTGCGCTCTCTCCTGTTACTTACAACAATATTCCGCACACATGAGAGATAGGAAGATCAAATAACTTCTACTTCAATTCTTTTAGGGTGGAAACAGATAGATCATTTGATTTGAGAATCAACTAGATCTTTTGAATTAAGTGAATTTTTGGACTTACCATTGGTGTACAACTTTGCTGCCCTTTTCTTTGCTTCTTCTTTAGATAGAGGGTATATAATTTGATCTCTCAGTGTCCCTAAACATGTATAAGGTCGCTGCGGGACAAAAAACATGCCATTCCCTGACCCAAGTTCTTTGATATCCAACGATGGTTTGGTAAGTCTTCCACATACAGTGGGCCAGATATCTCTTAGGACTCTAAATACTGAAGTCTTTCCACTACCATTTGGACCTGAAAATTTTGCTACTATTAGCTTGGGGCTCATGCAATAAATTCAATTGACGGAGATTAATTCACCAACCTGTGACGAGCAGGCTTTTCCCTGAAACTATTTCGCATGACAACTTGCTAGCCATCAGTTTCTGAGCAGGGGTAATGATATCCACCTCCGAAAAGGAAAGTAGATCTTGAGAATCCAAACGACTTGTGTGATTTTCTGAGGTAACACCTGAAATAGTTGGACAAAACGAATATGATCAACTCAAGTACAGACATTGACTATAAGCCTAATAATTCCTATAGAATATGTGAAAACATCCAGCGGAAAGAGTTCATGTAAAGATCACAATCTGAATAATGACTACATATATGTACAAAAAGCAACAAGATTTCGTATTGCCTAGTCAAAGTGTGAACCTATATATGCTGTATTACCTGACTGAGAGGCATCCAAAAACTCATCGAGCTCAAAAATTCTGTTAATACCACCAGAGAGCTCAAGGAACTTCTTGTGTAGTTCAAGAATATCGCCAAAAGCCATAAAGCTTTGGGAGACAACAGAAGCTAGATACCGCAACGCATGTGCCAACTCGCCTGGTATCAAAAGCATCATGCAAGAAAGCGTTATATAGAGGACATGTAAATACTTAATTGGCTCACATTAATCAAGGAAGTGATTAACTACAATGAAGTGTGACAGATCTTCACCTTGAGTGGAGACAAGTGCTCTGTCTCCCTTGTGTTCTAGGGCATACAATAAACTCAATCCCCACGTCACATTATTGGGGAGTTGCTTTGTCACAAAATCATCAAGTATGCCATACAACCATTTCTTCCTCAAGAGCATGAGAGAGTGGTCCAGTAGGGCCCTGAATTTTGCGTCAACCATCTGCTCCACGGAGAAAAAGAAAATAAGGGCAGATTCACAAGAGAAGTCGCATTTGACATGAAAAGGTCATCCTCACATAAATTGAAAAAACAGTTCCAAGTTCACGTCTTGTAGCTTTGTTTCACAAATAACTATCCCAAAATTCAACAGCTATAGCTAGGGAAGTTAAGACACTTACAGCCTTTTCTCGTGCTCCACCTCCAAAGAATGCAATAGATTCAGCATGAGTGTTTAGCCTCTCGTGCATAAACCTACATAAGCAGGAAGAAGTTGGTCTTGATAGTCCTATAACACAATCATCTGCAAATTGGATGAAGCGTAAAAAACTTACCTAAACTTCCCCTCAAGCAGCTGTTCTTCACCGGCTAGATCACCGAAATCGGGAGCAACATGTCTCAGAAAACCCAGGCCAAGTAACATATATGTGTAAAGTATGGCAACTCCCCTCTGACCAGTCAATAACTTCATCCTCCAGGTGAACCTTCAATTTGATTTTTTGCATTATTATAATTCAAACCAAGAACCATGAACAAATATTAGAATTCAATCCAACAAAGTGTACGTACCAGAGAATGTCAACCGATGGCTTTACCATTCCAGTAAGAAGTCCAGACAAGTCAGAGGTTAACTTTTCCAGGTCACGAGTGAGTCTCTGATCCGCATCAATACTATTGCCTGACATGTGGAAAACCTGAATAGATATGAACCCAATCAGATCGTTAGTGTAAATTTCCTATATAATTGTAAACAAACAGACTCTACGAAGCATAGAACAACCACAAATCAATATCCATTTCAAATTGGTATAGATCTTTCAGAATATCGACATATTTCTTATATAAGTTAAACAACACATCATGCTTTCTTTTAGATCAAGTTGCATTGAATAACATAAGTTCATGCTTCATAGTCATCATTCACAATGCATGAATAGGGCATATTCGCATAATATCTCTGAGCCTTATAGATTTGAATTGACCTTGTAAAATGCATTATTTCTCAAATAATTCCGTAGCAGATGTTGAGTCAAACGAATCCTCCACCCTAACGCTAGCCTTTGCGTTATATGCCTGAAGAATGTAACAAAAAGAGTTAGATGAAACCATATTAGCGAGGTGTTTAATAAATATAACTAATAATCTACTGTAAATTAGTTCAATAACTTGCTCTTTTATCAACATACAGGAAATTCAAACCCAACATAGTATGGTTTTCATTGAACAATTTAGTAAGTCGTGACAAGGGGATCATAGTGGGTGGGACTTCGAAACATTTAAACATGCATAAAAAGGAAAGATTACCTTAATGAAGGAGCAATTATAGAAGATGCACCACTTTGGAGAACACTCAAACCAATCAAACGAACAAAGGCTGCCTTATCCTGCTCCAAGACATACTTCACAGTGGTCCCTGCAAAAATCATGGTTGGTTGTTCGAAAAGGAAACCTATCAATAAAACTGACCAGGTAACAATACGGAGTATGTTTACCATTCAAAGAGGCTATTCGGTCAGAGATCAGTGTTCTTGAGACGACAAGGCAACCAACAGCAAGCAGTTGTGCTCCTTGTTTGTCAAATATAGTGGGTATCTGAAATGTAACAATGAAGTGGTCAGCTATTTTGAGAAGTATAACATCAATATTAGCATTAGCGCAGGACGAATAAGTTAGCCAAGTGGAAATGCAAAACAAAAGGTTGGCTTTCCAAGGAAGCTAAAGAAATGCACTGAAAGGCCAAGCTGGGGGAGAATGGAAGAGAAAAAGGTGGATATATGTATGCAGCTGAAAAAAGCCAGTGTATTGATCTATAGGTTAAGAAAAATTGGTACAGCTATTTACAATAAAATTCACACTAGTAACTCAAGCTCACCAACACGTTTAACATTGCAGCTACTCTTGATGGTAAAGCCCTTTGGGATGTTTGAGGTTGAGGAAAACGAGGCAACACTACACTTTTATCTACAACAGGTGATCTTGCAATTAACTGTGTCTGGTACGACTGAGCCTTTGATTTAGTAGC